CCAGGTTTGGTAGTGAGGGACGAGGAGTGTTGGGATCAGGAGTCCTGGATATGAATCCTGTGTCTGAATCTGCTTTGATAATCTCTTTGAGTCTTAGCTTTCTCATCTATTAAATGAGAGTAATCATTTTTGTTCACCCTAATGAAGATGGTTGTTATAAGGAAAGTATTTCCTACATCTTGAAACATTACAGGTAATGCACTTGTTGTCATTGTCCTTATTTTGGTCATTGCTATGTATCTTACAGATTGGGGTGTGGGGTTTTGTTTTTACATTTTCTTTTTAATAAGTGCTTGCTTCAGAAGCCTAAAGCAGAAAACTTTGGGTATTAATTTGGTCTTAATTTGGCACTAGTAATTCCATCCATACTTTTTAATATCATTAGAAAATGGCTTCCCTTTTTCTCTCTACAGTTGCCAAATGTACCAGCTGCCCTGATACTGGTTTACAAAATTCTTTTGTAGTACCTTTATTTTATTAGGAATTAGGGGTGTCTGAGAGGCTGTGAAAAACTCATTATAGATATGAAATATTATTATCTTTCCATCAGCATAGATCTAGAATACTGTAACATTGACTATTTGAGCTAGAAGGGTCACTACCAATCAGTCAGGCCTTTATCTTAAGTCCTTGCTGTATGCCAGGCACTGTGCTAAACACCGAAGAGATAGTGACCAAAGTGAAACAGTCCCTGCCCTAAAAGGCCTCGGCCTCCTGTTAAAACCCTTAATAACCTGCTACACTTTCAGTCTTCTGCCTCACTCCTGTCCTCGCACTCTGTGATCTAGTGACACTGGCTTCTTTCTTGTTCTTCCCATAGGACGCTCCCTTGGCCAACTCTCAGGGCTTTTTTTAACTGGTGGTCTCCCATACCTGGCTCTCTCATCTCCACCTCCTAGTTTCACTGACTTCCTTCAAGAGTCTACTAAAGTCCCACTTTGTACAGAAAACCTTTTTCAGTCAAAGTTTTGAGTTCTTAATTCTATCCTTCTCTTCCCCCTCCCTGAGACGGTAAGCAATCTGATATAGGTTATTCATGTGCAATCATGTAAAACATACAGGGACTTATTTGTATCTCATCATTTAGCATTGTGCTTGGCACATAATAGGCACTTGATAAATGCTAGTTGACTTAACATTCTTTCTAACACGTATATGTACCGTCTGAGTATATACAGTATACATCCAAGGCAATCTTGGAGGGGGGAGGCATTAAGAACTAAAGAGATTAGGAAAGACATTATGCAGAAGATGATGCTTGAGTTGAGTCCAGAAGGAAACCAGGGCTTTTTTATAAGGAGAGAAAGTATTCCAGGCATGGAAAACAATCATTGTAGATATGGAAACTGAATATGGAGCATCTTGTGGGAAGAATGGCAAGGCGGCACATTTGGCTGAATGGTGGAGTTTGTGGCAGAGAGTGTGGGGAAATATTGCTGGAAAGGGAGAATGGGCTAGGTTGTGAAAGATTTGAGTGATAAACAGAAAAATTTGTATTGGACTCCAATGGTAGTAGGAAGCCCAGGAGCTGATTGAGTGGGGGGGGCGGGGAGGGTTATAAGCAAAGGCTCAGTGATTCCTAGTGCAGGTCTGGGTGGGAGGGACTCTGTGGTTTCTGAGGCCCTTCCAGCTCCAAGATTCTGTAAATCTGACTCTGGGTCCACAGACTTCCTAACATATGGTGTTAGAGATGGAAGGTATCTTAGCCCATGGGATGTAGAAATTGTTAAATCCAGCACCTTTTCTTAGTCCTTATTCTTCTGGATCTTGAGGAAGCTTTTAACTCTCTTGATTGCCCCTCCTTTTGGATAGTCTCTACTTTCTGGGCTTTCATGACACTGCCCTTTCATGTTTGTCCTCCCATCTCTGACTCTTCCTCCTAAATTGCCTTTGGTAGATTGTCATCTCAATTTCCCACCCTTTTTTATGTGGATGTACTTCAGGGCTTTCTGTGGGGCCTTCTTTTCTTCTCTATAGTCACTATAATCTTATCAACTTCCATAGGTTCAGTGATGGAAATGTGTGGGGAGAGTTATCAGATCTACATATGTAGATAGTCTTTTGGAGCTCTAGTCTTGTATCACCAGTTGCCCCATGTGTACAGATATATATATATGTATGTATGCATATATATCCCCACCTTGATCTTACAAAATTATCTCAAATTCCACATGTCCAAAATAGAACTTACTCCCAAACCCCCTATCCCTCTTCTTTATTTCCATTGAGGATCATCATCATTCTTTTAGTTATCCAGGTTCACAATCTCTGTGTTATCCTTAGTTCTTCCCCCTCTTCCATATTCAGTCAGTTGCCAAATCTTGTGGATTCTGCCTTCACATCTGTTGTTTCTGTCACCTCCTGTACACTGACATAACCACTACTCCAGTATAGTGTATCAGATGATTAATTTAACCCCTATTTTATTCTAATCCATGTTACTCAGTTTAGTGTGATTCCATAGGGAATTTATTTATTTATTATTCCATAGTGATTATTTCTGTTATACTTGTCTATTAATATATATTTAGTCAGTTGCTTTCAGTTGGTGACCTGTAGTTTAAGGTTCTGGTCTTATCTTAGGCCCCAGAGCTTTGACCTAGGGGTTATAAGTTTACTTGCTTAACCACAGGAAGGACCTCCACCCTTTTTTCTTGATGAGTAAGTGATCAATCTCTGTGGGGCTTAGATATCCTAATGACATGGAAAGTCCCCCAGCTTCTTTTTGTCCCTCTGTCCTTTAATGTACCTCCCCATTACCCAATGTGGGGAAACTGCCTTGAGCGCTTGGCCAGTGGGTGACCCTTGCCTTGCCCATTCTGTGACCATCAACCTTATGTACTGGCCCTTGGGGGTAGGGTGGGGTGGGGTTGGGGGTGTCAAGGTATAGGTCTGTCAACCAATGAAATCCTGTATTTTACATCATCTGTCTCATCTTGCCAAACACTATAAAAGCAAGGCCCATCATGAGGAACATATGAGGTCCATTCATTTAAGGGGGCCAGTTCTCTAATAAATGATTATTGGCTTGGAGCTCTGCCTCAGTTGCTTTTATTACAGATTGAACATTTTTGGGCCCACAGTAGGCCCTCATCATTTCTTGCCTGGATTAATTCAGTTGCCACTTAATAAATCTCCCTGCCTCTAGAATATTACCTTTTTAATGTATGAAATCTTTTTTGTTGGCTTATCATCCCTGTCTTTTTTTTTCTTTTCTTTTTAAAATTTTTAAATTAATTAATTTATTTTAGTTTTCAACAGTCATTTCTATAAGCTTTTGAGTTTTCAATTTTCTCCCCTTCCCTCCCCTCTCCCTCCCCAAGACGGTATGCAATCTGATATAGTCTCTACATATACATTCTTATTAAACATATTTTCATATTAGTCATGTTGTAAAGAAGAATTAGAATGAATGGGAAGAAACATCAGAAAGAAGAAACAAAATAAAACAAAAAAATCAAACAGTCTGCTTCGATCTGCGTTCAGACTCCAGAGTCCTTTCTCTGGATGTGGATAGCATTTTCCATCATGAATCTTTTGGAGTTGTCTTAGATCCTTGCATTGCTGAGAAGAGCCAAGTCTATCAAAGTTAGTCATCGCACAGTGTGGCTGTTACTGTGAACAATGTTCCCGTGGTTCTGCTCAGTTCACTCAGAATCAGTTCATGTAAGTCTTTCCAGTCCTGCCTGCTCATCATTTCTTGTAGCACAATAGTATTCCATTACATTCATATACCACAACCTGTTCAGCCATTCCCCCATTGGTGGACATCCCCTCAATTTCCAGTTCTTTGCCACCACAAAAAGAGCTGCTATAAATATTTTTTTACATTTGGATCTTTTTCCTATCATCCATATTTTGCCCCCCAAATGTGAGCCTTCCTTGAGGCTATATCATGAATTTTGTTCTCTCTCTGCACTTTTTCACTTGGTGACTTCATTGGTTTAGTAATCATTGTTTTCTAGATGATTCTCAAATCTGTGTGTCCTGCCCTAATCTCTCCCATGAGTTTCAGTCCCATGACACCAACTGCCCATTGGACATAGGACTGAATGTTTGGGAAACATTTTCATTTCAAACTCAACATGTCCAAAAGAGAATTCATACTCTTCTGCCCTCCCCCAATCCTAACCCCTTCCCATTTCCGTATTTTCACTTTTACTATCAAAGACACCACCATTCTTCTAGTCTCCCAGGTTTATAACCCATGACATTATTCTCAGCTCCTCACTCTGCCTCATTCTACACAGACAGTCAGTTGCCAAATCTTGACCTTGCCTTGTCCATCTGTCACCTTCTCAGAAAGCCACCACTGTAGTTCAGGCCCCCAGCATCCCTTGCCTGAGTAACTGTAGTAGCCTCCTCTCCTCTAGCCTTTCCTTGATCCATCCCGTCCTCTACATTGCTGTCTAAGTGATGGTTTAAGTGCAGATCTGACCAGGTAAATCCCCTTACTCTGTTGACACTAGTGACTCCTTCCTCCATCTTATCTCAAGTATGACCTCCCAGTTGTCATTTAAAACGCTTGCTGCCCTTTCTGCAGCACACGGATCCCCTTCATACACTCTACATTCCACATGCACGTGCTTGCTGTTCCCTATATGCAGCTTTCCATCTTCCGTCTCCATGCGTTTGTAACTCTTCCTTGCCTCTGCTTTTTAGAATCCCCAGTTCCCTCAAAGCCCTCTCCTGATCCTACCTTACTTCTCTCTCCACCAAAAGTTATTTGGATACTTTATATTGATTTTTCAGTGTCTCTTTGTTGTTTTCCCCCCAGAAAACTCTCTGAATATAGGGGTTGTTTCATTGTTGTATCTGTCTCCTTAGTGCCTTGCCCAGAGACTGTCACATAAATGGTGCTCGATACATTCACGCTGAATGAGTCAGTCTCCAAGAAATGAGAGGATTTATGTAAAGTGCTTTGAGTCAGGAGAGTACCTGGGACATTGATGTTAAACTCTGTGGATTGATTGACACTGACCTTTATGTTCTCCTTCCAGTGAATATGGAGGGGAGACTGGACAAGGACCAGCATATGGACCAGCCAGTCATTCTTCAGCCTCTGCTTCAGCACCTTCTTCTTCAGCATTTCGACCAGTAGTGCCATCCAGACAGATCGTGGAGAGGCAGCCAAGGATGCTGGACTTCAGGGTGGAGTACAGAGACCGCAATGTAGATGTGGTCCTGGAAGATAGCTGCACCGTTGGTATGGCTTTTCTACAGTCTGGATTTAATGAGTGGTAGTAAGGGGTGGAGGAGAGCCATTTTTAAGTCATTTACCATTTTGGATGCTCTTTTCCTCAGGGAATGAGTTGCTTTCCACATCATTCTATTCTGACTTTTCATTACTAAACAGGACCAGAGCCCCAGATAACATAATGCCAGGATTGATACAATGGTACTAAACCATTTTTCATGATTTTTTTTTTCCGTTTTCTTTCAAGGGATTTAAAAGTAGGTGGTAGAATATTCAGACCACTCACTTCGGTGATCCTTTACGTAGCTTCAGAGTAAAGCCTTTTTGTGAGGCCACTGCTGTTCTTAAGGGAACAGTTAGAATAGATGAGATTTGTTTTTCCCTTGAAGTCTGTGTTCTATTTGTTGGAATTAGCATGGGGTCATTTTCTATAGTAGAATTGTCACACTAACCTTTGCTAACCATTATTACTTCTAAACTAACTTACCAACATTTCTCCTTTGAGCTTCATGTTATCCAAATTTATCACTCAACCTAAAACCTGGTGGCCATTGTCTCCTTATCCCCAGGAGACATTCTTCCTTCCTCAGTGAGGTCAATGTTTAGCTCACAATCTAACTCCTTCCCTCAGGGGTCTTCAACATCCATATTGAGATTTTCACAAATATCTTAACTTCTGGTTTCTCAGTCTATTCAATTCCTATAACCTGTACTCCACCTTCACTTACACAGAAAGGTGGTCATACCCTCCATCTTTGAAGCACACCATGTCTTCCCCATCCTTTAAAAACCCTCCTTTCATTCTACCATCCCTGTTAATTATCAGTCATCCCTTTCTAGGATAAAAATCCTGAGAAAAATGTCTATACGTGGTACCCCCACTTAATCGCTCACTCTCTTTATAACCCTCTACTTTCTGACCTAATTATCAAACTGAAACAGCCCTCTCCAAAGTTACCAGTATTCTCTTTTTAAAATTTATTTTTTTTACCAGTGTTCTTTTTTATAAATTGTTTTTTTATTGATATCTTTTTTTTTCCTTTCATATGACCATACATTCTTCCAGTATCCTTAACCCTCTGCTCTCCCAGGAAACCATCACGTATAAAACATAATATTTTTAAAGGGGAAAAAAAACTGACCATTACATTGAAAAAATTTATACATTGTACTTTGACTTTCCAACTCTGCAAGGAGGTGGAATGGAGGTTTCTTTCCATGTTTCTTCTGTGGTGCCAAGCTTATTCTTTGTAACTTTGCAAAATTTTTCTGTTTTGCAGTTTTCTTTCCATTTACTCTGCTGTAGTCATTGTGTATATTATTTTCTTGGTTCTGCTTACTTCACCTTGCACCAGTTCTTATAGATCTTCCCATTATTCTCTGTATTCATCATATTTGTCATTTCTTATGGCATAGCAATATTCCATTTCATTTATGTACCACAGTTTGTTCCCCAGTCATAGGGCATCTGATTTGATTTCTGTTTGTTTGCTGTTACCAATTTTCAAGACCAAGCTTTTCTTTAAAATCCATACATTTGCATCCATATAAACTCGCTTTCAGAATCAGTAAGTGTAAAAGCCACATTTGAGAAGTATTTGGTGCTATATACATAGTTAATGTTATATTTGAAAGGATGCATGGAAAATCATATACAAAGCTGCTTCAAAGAGGTCTATGTGCAAATAATATAGTGGGAGAGAAAGCTGCCTATGTATCCCAAGAGCTTTATGGTTAATTAGTTGAATAACTAGAATCTTTCTGTTTTGCATAGCAAGTGGATGAAGCAATAGGTATAGTCCAAGATGCTTATTTAATTCCATGTATATAAAATGTTGAAACTCATGTTAGGGAAGATTTATTCCTTTGCAGATTATTCATAACAATGCCACATCAGGAAAAATAGCATAATTGATGGATTTTAAAAACTGCAAACAGAATAATGGGGGGAAATGTATTGGTTTCTGCAGTGATGGAGTTTATTTGGTGCCAATGGGAAACACAGGTCTGCAAAGCCCTAGTTTGAATATAGTCCCTTATACGTTATCAACATGCTGCATGCTTCATAGGTGGTCACTTGTATCGAGAATGTGAGAGAGGAGCTACAGACAGATTTAACATATTTATAATAGTAATGGACGTTATGAAAAATTCCATTAAAAGGGAGGCTCTTTAGAAAAATTGTATTTTGGTAGGAGGCAGAACAAAGGTTAATTCAGTATTAGTGTAAAACACACTGACTTTCTTGTGCCAAAATACTTAGAAGGTTAGTTGAGCTAAAAGTTACTTTTTTTTTTTAAGGGATAGTAATAGATGCAGAAAATGCATTTTAGAACAAAAGTTTCCTCCTGAAACTTATGTTTTTGGTGGACAACTTTGAGAAAATTAGTATACTCTGTAAGTAATTTGAAAGTCCTCATATTCACATTTCGATTAAGAATGGTAAAATGACTATATTTATGAAAAAAGAACTACACACAATCAATTTACAAAATAATATTTGATATTTTTTTCTATTTTAAAAAATACCTGCCTTGCAAATAAATTAGGTGAAAATAAAAACCTGCTTGTTAATCACTTGATCACTTTACAGAAGCCATTCTTTATTCATGTTAAAGACCTTGATATTTCTAAATGTGGTTTGGTAAGGAGGCCATTTTCCTTTGACTGATATAATACTCTTGGTCTTAAACCAGCTCAATTCAGGAAGTCAGTAGGCACCAGCTATGTGTCAGGAACTATGCCAATAAGCTTAGGGGATACAAAGAAAGGGAAAAAACAGCCCCATCTCTCAGGGAGCTCACATTCTAATATGGTAGACACCATGTATATAACTAACACCTAGCTGAAATTTAGCATTTCTTTGAATTATTTTCAAATATTATTTTGAGAAGGGGTTTTGTAATTTTCACCAGAAAGAATTCCACAGGGGTCTAAGAAAAATATGGTTAGGATCCCCTTTTTCTTAATCCTTCTACGTGTCAGCTTTCCAAGTACTTGAAGACAGCCTATTTGATATTGGGAAATGGCAATGTCCTAGTATGAACAAGATTCTAGATCCCCTTAAAACATGGCATCAGGGCTTAGAGATATACCACTATACTGGGCCATAGAGAGAATCACTTCTAGACTTGCTTACCCAACTGAGGAATCTACAGAGTCTTGCAGAGTTCCTGGGATATATAGACCATTGTGGCAAGCTGAGAGCTAAGCACAGAGGGGTTGGAGGATAGGCAGCCACCCGTAAAGCACCCCTGCCTGAGTTCTGTGGTGCCTAGGCTTAGCTTGGCAGAGCCTTTCCTTAACACCTGTGACTGCAGGAGATGACTTACCTTTCAGGGGCCCAGGCCTTTCTCAAATCTATGACTGGTTACTAGCATTTCTGGAAACTGAATCAGAGGCTGCTCCAAGCCCAACAGGGCCCCAACTGAGGCCTAGTCTAGCATAGAGCAGCTTTAGGGTGTTCTGGGCAGGGTCCAGCCTTATAGCAGTGGCCCTGAACAAGGTGTAAGAGAAAGGTCCTCAATAAAATTCAGCCAGAGCAGGCCCTGCAGCCTGTATTGGGAGCCCAGCACAGTAGGAACTCCTGAGCCTCTATGCCAGGGCAAAAAGGCCCCAGATGGAACTACACCAAGGAGAGATCAGAGGATAACAACCTTACGACAAGTCCAAATAAAGCCTCAGAAATGTCCTGACCGTAGGTATTACAGGAGTCCGTAGAGGAAATGAATGAATTATAGAATGGAAAAGCTAGCGAAGAACAAATGGCAAGGAAAATCAGTACCATAGGGCAGACTGGAAAACTTCACTCAAAAACTAGACGCTATTAGAGGTAGAATGGGCCAGATAGAGAGCAGTAACTTAAACATACAGTGGGAAAAATCAAAACAAAACCAAAAATTTGAAAAGCACAAGAAAATCTAAGAAATAAAATATCAAGAAATACTGATCTAGAAAACAGGTCGAGGAGAGACAATATAAGAATTATCAGACTCTCAAAATTATGATGAGAAAAAAGTAAGGATACCATATTTCAGAAAATTATAAATGAAAATTACCCAGAACTCTTAGAACTAGAGGGCAAAATGAAAATAGAAAGAATCCATTCATCTTTTCAGAAAGAATCCCCAAAATGAAAAACTCCCAGGATTCATCATAGCTGAAATCCAGAGCTTCCAAGTAAAAGAAGAGATATTTTAAGAAGCCAAAAAGAAGGAATTTGAAAGCCAATGATTGTCAATAAAATTACTCATGACCTAAAAGCTGCCACTATCTAGGAGAGGAGAGCTTGGAATGTAATATTCCTAAGGGCATTAAAACCAAGGAAAATCTATCCAGAAAAATTAAATATAGTCCAGCAGGGGAAAAATTAGAGCAAAGTACTTCCAAGCATTTTTAATAAAAAGAACACAACTGACTATATATGTGGAAATAGAAATGCAGTCACCACATGAAGCATAGAAAAGTAACCATATTTGTATAATTGAAAGGGAATATGTGGGCATGAATTGTTTATATATTGATAGGGTGATTAGAAGTAGATATCTTCTCAGAACCCTAATATATTTAATGATCCTAGAAAACAGTTAAAATAACAAAAGGTCTGTGGGTAGTTTTGTTCTAACAGTTTTAACAGTCTTAGAAGAAAATGAAAATAGGAAGGATGGAGGAAATGACTAAGAAGGGGAAGGAAATCACTATTGTTTAATATAGGTGCATAAAATAAAGAGTAATATCCATGGAGGAAAGAGTGTGGGGAATGGGGATCCCATGGACCTCACTCTATTCTGAATCAGATAACACACAAAGGTATACCTAAACATACATTTGAGTATGAAACACATTAAATTTAAAGACATATAGAAGAGAGGGACAAAGAAGGGATAGAGAGGCACAAAGAAGGAAGGAAGTATAATAAGCATTTATGAAGTAATCATAAATTACTTGTGCCAGGCTAAGCTTTTTACAAATGTTGTTTGATCGTCACATCAACCCTGTGAGATAGGTGC